CTATAACACTTGGACGTGATGGAACAATTATTGTTTCAAGTCATTTCAGTCATTGTCTTCATATGTATTTACCACAGAAATCTGCAAATGAAACAAATCCTTATTCATATAAACAATTTAAATTAGGTGTCGAAGGTACCCACATTCATGAATTTTATCAACCAGCTGGTATATGTATTGATAGTATTACGGGATATTTATATATTTGTGATCGGGGTAATTATCGAATACAAGTCATGACACCTGAAGGTATATGTGAACGTGTGATTGAATTATTTTTAAATAGTAAAAAAAAAATTCGTTTGGATCCTGTACGAATTGCTCTTCAAAATAATTCCGATCATATTGTTTGTATTATTGGTGAGGGTGATTCTATATGTCTTATTCCAAAATATAGTAATGGGTAAGAATAAATTTGATTAAATTCAAAAAAATCGAAATATATATTTATGTAGACGAGTATATATCGATCCATTCTATGTTATTGATGAAAATGGGTTGGGTATTAAAAATGCTGCTGGTTTAGCACTAGATATTCAAGATCGTATCTTTATTTCTGATACAGGTCATAATCGTATTGTTATTTGTGCACCTGATGGGACTTATATAACAAGTTTTAGTACAGAAGGTAGTGAACTTGGACAATTACAACGTCCATGTGGTTTAGATGTGACAAATGATGGAGCTGTTGTTGTTACTGATCCCGGGAATAAAAGATTACATATATTTGGTACTATACCTAAAGAAAACGATTCTTCTAATACGAATACCAATGATAGTAATAATTGATCGATCAAAACAAAAAAATTCTATTAAAATGAACTTATCTAACTTATATATTTTTTTTTATAAATTTATTCATTTATTTAATTTAAATATTATGTATCCGAGTGTCTTTTACAACCTTGTCCAAAATGAGAGTTTGGTTTAGCAACAGAGTTACCACATGAGAAACAAAAACCTCGTTTACAATGTTGACAGATAATATAATTACTAGCACCAGATTTAACATGATGTTTTCCACAGTTCATATTTGGACATTGTTTAGTACGACTCATAAGAAGTTTTGTAACTAATGGTAGTTCTAATACTTTCAAATTATTGATATCTGTCTCATCATCTCTTTCATGTCTTATTTCTTCATTTAATTTATCCAAATCATTTCCGTACTGTTCAAATAATGCTTTTGCTTCTGTTGTTTGATCTTTTGCCTCACTCCAATTAAAATTAGTTCGACAACGAACACAATACATATGATCACATCCTTCGTTTTTTTCAATCGGTACTTGACACATTGAATTTGGACAAAGACGCGTTGAATTTTCAATTCTTGCAACAGCAAGAAATTCACGTAATAGATTTTTCTCATCATCTTCAGTTAATTTTAAACCTCGCCATTTTAGAAGCGCTTTACGACGTTTTTCTTTCAATTCTATTAATTCTTGTTCAATAGCACATAATGTTTGAGAATGATATGTTTTTTTACATTTTTTACAAAATGCAAAACGACATTGATCACATAATGCAAGATTATCATTTTCATTTCCAGTCAAAACTGCTTGTTGACATCTAAAATGAAATAAAAACAGTCATATAGGACACATAAATTTTAATTTAACCTTGGACACCACACGATATCTAACATCTGTTCAAGTGTTTTTTGTAATAATAATCGTTCATATTTATCATATAATTCATTATTATTAATAGTAATTTTTATTTCTGATGGTAACAATGCTAATTGACATTGTGAATCAGGACAAAGTAACCATTCTACTGAACCTGTATTAATATGCATTTGAGCATAGTCATGTAGACATGCCCGGCAAAAAGTATGATGACATTTATGTAATCGAATCATATCACGTCCAGAAATATCATTTGACATACAAATTGGACATTCATGATATTCATGAAGAAATTTTTCATTTTCAATTTCTTGATTATATTCGATTAATTGTTGATAGATACGTGTAGCTCGATCAGGTTCATAACTAGACATTGCTCGAGGATCATCATTTTCATTATTAATTTCTGAATTTGTTAAACAAAGTTCATTGACAGATGAAAACTCTTCTTTAAGACATTCAATCCATTGAAAAATAATTGGTTGACTTAGATTTTGTTCCCAAATTTCATCTAATTTTCGACACATATTCTCAAGATATGTACGTGATAAATAACATGATGAAAGTACAAATGTTGGTGAATGTATTGATGATGGATATTGATCATGAAAATGTATAGTTAAAATTAATGGTGGAAGATGTTGAATTACTGTTGATAATTGATTTGAATTATCAATAAGACGTAAATGAAATGGTCGAGATAATTGAAATTCAATATCGATTTCAAATTGATCATTTTCATTACTTAAATCTGTAATAGTTTCACCTAAAATCGATTTTAATATAAGCAATTCTTCTTCTTGCTGTTGTTTGTCATTCGTCATCGTACTTTGTTTTTGTCTATTCTAGACGTGACTTGTTTTTTTCTGTTCTAATCAAAACTTACTTCATTCTTGTGCAATACCACGACAGAATGACGAAAAAAAATGTATGATGCGTGTGTAAGATTTGTTTTTATATGATATAGCAAAAGTACAGGAAAGAACAACAACAAGAAAAAAAATAATAATAATCTTATAGATAGAAATTAAATTCATACATAGCAAAAAAATATATAAGTAAAATTGATCAGTATAGTAATAACAGAAATGTTTTGATATTTTTTACAAATAATCAGCATTCAGTTTCGACGTAAAGCATCTAAACGAGCTTCTAAATCAGCATCAGCTGTAGATATTGCTTGAGCTTGTGGTTGATTTGCTACACGATTATTAGGTAAAGCACCACTTGGTGCATCTAATAAAAAAGATTGATTATTATTATTAATATCATCTTATTTAAAATACTTACTAGGTATTTGATTGCCCATTGTTATATTAAGTTCGCTAAGTACTTGATCAACGAGTTCTTCACTAAAAAAACATTTTTGTGAATTAATCTGATAGAATAAGTTATCTTACGTTGCGTCTTCATCGTCTTCTCCTTCAAATGCAGCATCCATTGCATCATTCATCATTTCTTGTTTAATATTATTTGCTGTCATATTTTGATCAAACATTTGCATTGTTTTTTGAAAATCAGCTAAGGGCATCTGAATAAAAACAAATATGTATTTCATTATTTTAAAAGAAAACAAACCAACCATTCGATTTAATCGTGTTAATGTTTTTGTTGTTTTAACCATAACATTAGCCATTGTCATTTGAGCATTCATTGATGATGCTTCAGATTCAAGTGTTGATAATGTTGCATCCATTGCACCTAATTTATTGATTTGATTTCGTTGATTAACAATATTTTTTGCGTATGTTCGTAATGCTTTTTGTTCGCCTTTAGCAGCTAATTTACGTATTTCATTTTCATTACGTGTTTTTTCATTATTTAAACGATTTTTTTCACGTTCAAGTTCACGTCTTGCTTGTCGAATTGCACGTTTATTTTCTTGCATAATTTCTTTTGGTGTTTTTGTATGAAATAATTCTTTTAATTTATCCATTATTTAAGAATATTAATAATAATCTGTTGAATATTTTTTTTTTATTAAGAAATGAATCTATTTAATAGGATATAATAGATAAATATAGAAATGAGTCAGAAAAGAAAACAAACGAAAAAATATATGAATGACGTGAATGAACAAACATTAAAATACTGACGAGAAGATTTCTCATCCATTATGAGTCATACGAACGTCAAATATTGCAAAAGGTTAATTTATTCAAGGAAATTTTACATTGTCGAGAGTTTTTACTTCTAGAAATAAAAATACTCTTCATAATTTTTATTAATTTTTAGAAACATAAACGAAAGATGGCGCTATTGAATGGCAACTAGAATCAATAAAGTTATTCTGATAGTGAGCAAATTACATTCAGTTCTTTTGATCGAAAACGATAATCATAATGAATGGTCGAATCTAGTTATATATTATATATACTTGATTTTATAGATAATATAGGTAACAAATAGGTGGAGTTAGAATTCATTATTCGGTATCTCACTTTTTGTAACAATAATATACTGCTGACCAGTGGCGGATCTAGGATTTTGGAGGGGGGGGGGCGATTTCGGCTAAAAGCTATTTTTTGAGTCCAATCGAAGTAGCGTGAACCTATTTTTTCGTTCATTTTTGCTGTAAAAAATCAAAAAAAAATCGAAAGAGGGGAGCGATCGCCCCACTCCCTAAATCCGCCACTGTTGCTGACAAGTTTTCTGATCTAACCTTTCTATTTTTGAAGAAAACGAGAAACCATGGCTAGTATGTATTACTATTTACGAGATGCGTGACTTTTATTTATCTTTTTCTTTACCTATTCAGACAAAGCATGGAATAATTTTCTTCTCGTTGTTTCAAGATAGTTTTCGAATCATAGATGCATATATATTTATATTCTTGATTGTTTAACAACTGAACATAGATCTATTTCAATAAAGTAGATATACGTTTTATCTTTCGTTATTAAAATAAAAGAACAAGAGCGTCAGTAATAAGTACTTAGTATTTCTTCCTAAAACTGAATAGTTGATTACGCAGATTCTTTATTTGCTGTCAGTTGCTGTTTGATGTAGTATAACAAACTTATATGAGATTTTCTTTGTAAAATTTATTTAATGAAATGAGAGCACCTTTTACATGACAAAATATATATGAAAATGACGAATTTTAATATGTTCATAAGTATAAATTTTTAAATATAAGAATAACAGCACCAACAATTAACAGAACAAAGTAGCGAAAATTTATTTATTTGTCATTAGTTGCTGGTCGAAGTGGAAGTCGACAATGATGAATTTTCGTTGGATCTTTTAGAAATAATTCCCAAGCAGTTTTTTCCGCCTTTGTAGCTTCTAACCATTTAACAGGTTTATCATCAATTTGTCCTTGTGATGAATTAAGTTTAATAGAACCAATCATATTTTTTCGAAAACGTTCTTGACACCATATACTAATTTCAATAGACATATTTCTTAAATTACTACGACGTATACTTTCCCATCGTAATGGAACATCCCATTTTGGAAATGGTCCTCGACGTACTGTTGGTAATTTTCGTTTAGTTTTATCAGGCATTAAGAGCCTTTATAAATATACATCAAAATTAAAATGAAAAATCAATGTATATGTATTTACCCTTTGCAAATAGCATCGACGTTATTTTTTCCATAATAAATACCTTTACCTTGAATTGCATTAACTTGTATAGTTCCTAATTCTTTATTTTTATCATTTTCAATAAAAGTTAATTCAAATTGTAATTCACCAGTTTCAGCTATCGACTCATTAATCGATGCAGCCTGTGTGAAAGAGAAGAGAACAAATGTTTATGATAATATTAGAAAAATAAAAATTACGTCATCTTTTTGTACTCGAGGTAAAAGTGTATATTCTCCCACTTTATCCAATGTACAATTAGCTAATGGAATATGTATTTCACCAAGAAAATCATTATGTTTTAATGTTGATCGATTCCAAACGGAAACCCATAAGATACGCGAATTAAAATCACGAGCACTAACTTGATACTAATAAATATGAAACAAAATTAGTTTTCTTTCGAAATAAATAAATAAAAACATACATGTAATGTCTCGCCAAATGCTGGATCTGTTGTATGTTTTTTAACACTTGTTTTAAGTTTACTAGTTTTTGATTCATCAGGTAATAAATATGTTTTACAATAACTAAATAAAGAAAAAAAAAATTTTTTGTTTTAAAAATAAGATGTTGTTCTATTATAATACGTACGGATTTGAAGTTTGATTTCGTTTAGCAGGAGCTAAATTAGTACATTTATGAATTAAAACATTTAATAAATTTTTTGTTGTATCATAAGTAAGTTTTAATGTAATTGAACCAGTTATTTCAATGTCAAATTGAGATTTCGTATCACTTATTGCACTATTGATACTTAATTGTGAACCCTAAATAGATGAAATATGTAATTAATTAATAAATAATTAACAAAATTATTTAGTATTATTATGTAAGTGAGAAGAAGCATTTTATATAATCTTACATGTAGATTCATAAAAGAAGTTGTTCGTTTCTTTTTATCCTATAGTGCATTATAGATTTTCAATTAATTATTTATCAGTAATTCTTTTGTTTCTAGGAAACTTTTTTTTTATTAGATAAAGAAATCAACTTACCAATTTAGCTTGTTTGAAAGTATTATCGATATCCTCATCACTATCAGCATTGGTTGCACGATTACCAACACTTGCTGTTCGACCAGTACGAATATTCGTGCGAGTCTCAACAGTTGGCGTTCGACCTGTGTGAGTAGTCGTACGTGTCTCAACACTTAGTGATCGATTTGTATCAGTGGTCACACGCTTCTCAACACTTGGTGATCGATCTGGACGAGTATTCGCGCGAGTCTCAATAGTTGGTATTCGATCTGTACGAGTAGTCACACGACTCTCATCACTTGGCTTTCGAACCACATGAGTATCCACGCGATTCTCAATAGTTGGTGTTCGACTTGTACGAGTATTTCCATGATTCTCTTCATCACTTATTGTAGTTATTATAGTTTTTATTGTTGTTTTATTTTGTGTTATAGCTGAAGGTTCTTGTTTTGATTGTGTTTGAATAACTGTCTCAGACAGTTCTTCTTGATTGTCCTCCAATGATTCTTTTGATTCATTTATATGTGGTTGTGAAGCTTCATATTTTGTAGGAATATCTAAATATTAAAATAGTTAAAAGATTAAATATTAAGAAACTAGTATTCTATTCGATGCACAAAGAAAAGAAAGAAAATTACACGGAGAAGAAAAAGAAAAAGGTACAAATATTTTGTTTCTCATCGTGTTTGATAACGTTTTTTATCCGATGATCGACGCACAGTACGTTTACGTGACGATGATGGCGCTGCTGTTGTAGTTGGCGGCGGTGGTGGTGAATAATTTAAATCTTCTTCTTTATTTGGTAATGATGCCAAATGTAATTTTATAAGAAGATACTTTGTTTTTGATAATTTAACTGGTGGAGTTACTGATGGTTTTGCAATAGATGCTACACTAGCCATTTTAACAAGTGGTGATTGTTGTATTCCAATATGATTTTCATCATCATTAACAAAACTATCACTCCATCGTCTTTCTAATAATGGTTTACCATTTTGATTTTGATTTTGTTTTTGATCAACAGTTTTTTGTTTTTGTACATTTGAATTAGTCTGTCGTGATCGTGAATATGCTTCAATACGATTAAGTTCTTTTGATAAAATAATACCATCATTATTTTCTTTTTCGAATGCATATTCTTCTTCTTCCTCTCCAATACTATGTAGTGCATATTTATCAGGACTAGTAGGAGGTGATGGTGGAATAACCACAATTGACGATGAAGGAGAAGAATAATCAAATAAACTATTTGGATCGAATGTATTCGTTGAAGTAAATTCATTTTCTACAATTCGTTCATTATTAGAAAATTCTTCATGCCAATCGTTATTTATATCAAATACGCGTGAATGTCCATGCGGATCGGTAATACAGATAGCTGTCGGTATATTTAGATTTGAAGGAATAGATAAATAATGTTTTTCTTTGGTTTTTGTTGTTTTTTTAAAAAATTTTTTATTTCGTATTAATAAACTTTCATGATTATTTTCATCACCTGATGTTTCATCATCATCAATTGGACTACTAGGTGATGGAGTAAGTGAACGTGGGGGTGCCCAAAATGACGACATTGTCATTGAATTTTGATCATCACCATATGCGCTTTGCTTGTCAAACATACCTCGACGTTTGTTTTGTGATGATTCATCAAGAGAAAGACATGAATACGAACGTGGTAATGATGGTGGTTGAGTTTTTCTTGGTGCAATAAATATAGGTGCCGGTTTGTTGGTTTTTTTAGGTGAAATTGTTGTTGTTGTTGTTGCTGTCGTTGTTGTTGTAGTTCCAAATTTAGTTTTAGTATGAGGCGCAAGTAAATTTGGATTTGAAGTATCGGGTGGTACGGACATACTTTGTTTCAAATGAGATGCTCGTCGTGTCTGTGTGGTTACTAATGGTATGTCTCTTTTTTTCATTGTTATTATAGGCTTTTGTGATTCATTAACCGCATTTACTACGTCATTTGACAAAATTTCATCATTAATACCCTCATTTTTTGGGGTTTCTACAGGTGGAAGTGTTTTAATAGATGCTTGAGAAAAATGATTAGGTGCAGTATTATTTGTACTCATATTTGCTGCATTATGTAATGCTTGTTGATGTTCTAATGTTTTAATTTTCCAATGTTGAAAGACTTGTACAATAAATGCTTGATTATAAATCGAATCAGAATCATCATCATCATGATCCGATATATGTTTACTAATAAAAGGACGATGTCTTGTTGGAGGATAAAAACTTGGCATTGTTGAACTTGTTAAAACTGGTGTATGTTCACTTAGGTTTGTTTGTTGTTGTTCATGATGATAAAGGTCGGTCATGGTACTATAAAAAGTTCAAATTAATGCTTGACATCGATTGGTAAAAATATATTCATTAGGAAATAGCAAAGTATCATTTAGCTTTGCTAGTCCGTCGTATTGACGACTTTTTTTCCTTCTTTTTTTCTCCTCTTCGATAATTATGTCTATGTACAATACTCAAAAACTGGCGTCAAGTCAACGATATTTATTCAAGCATGACAGTGTGTCATAAAGTGTAGAAGAAGTGTTTATAATGTACGAGTAAATGTATATACACTTCTTTCTTTCTACTAAATATGGCTTCATGTATATGAAAACGTTTTATTTTTCTCTCTTATGAGAATAAAATATTGATTATACGCGACTGAGTTAATAAATTTGATGGTTTAGAGAAAAATATTGTATTGATTTTTGTTGTCGAGAACAAAAAAAAAGATCACTTCCATTAGTTTTTGTTTCTTACGTGTTTTTGCATGTAATAAGCCATCATTGTTATAAATACGACTTGTTTCTCTTCTATCTTCACAACCACTGAGACACACCAAATAATAACTGTGCGAGTGATGTAAACAAATTATCAAACCACACAATGTTGATCGGTTATGAGTGATTGATTTCCAGTACAAAAAAAAACAGCAAGAGAGAAAAAAAATAAAACGAGTATTATGTAGGTTATGAATCAGTTATTTGGATTAAAAATAATCAAAATATAGTTGTATTTGTATAAGAACCGTTCAGGCGTGTACAAATATAAGCAATGCGCACATAATCTCGCACGTTATCTCTCTCATACGCGCCTTGCTACCGTAAAAAAAAATATTCTTTATAAATACACGAATAAAAGTGGATAGGAAACAAATGAGAAGAAGAAAAAATAATACACAAGCAAAAAAAGAGCAATTCCGACGCCGGGAATCGAACCCGGGCCTCCTGCGTGAAAGGCAGAAATCCTAACCACTAGACCACGTCGGATACATTCTAAGGAATCATACATACTCGATCTACTTTGTTTATCTGGAACTTTTAATGATACTGTATCATCTTCATTAACAGTTGAAGTACTTGATTGTCGGACTTTAGCTTTCTTTTCTGAGTTTAAAGAAGTACGTGATGATAAGAAATTTCCAGGTGAAACATTTCGAACTGTATCACGTATATTTTGCATTGAAGCACTGAGATGTTTGGAAGATAGTTTGCTAGTTTTTGGAGATTCGGTACTTTGTTGTCTAGGGATTTCTATAATCACATTAAAAGAATATAAATAAAAAATCTGTACAGAAGATTAAATCAATAGTAAACGTTAATGTCATCAAAAAAAAAGAAAATCGTTAGTATTTTTCAATTCTCTCTATTTATCTATCAAAACATTATAATGTATAGAACATTTATATGAGTGTAAGATGTATAACTATGGATTGATAAACTATTTGTAATTAGAAATGAATGAGTTTTAGTTAAATAATCTCAATTTCGAAAGTTATATATGTGATTTTAACGAAAGATTCTATTAATAAGAAATTTGTTAAAACTTACGATTAAGTGGATGATGAAATAATTTTTCCTTTAATCTTTGTCGTTTTGATTTTGTTTCATTATTTGTCATATCAGATGCGATTGAACTACGATCCATTTCAATATGTTGCGAGTCGATATTTTGACTATCATTTAGTTTTGGTTTAAATACTGCTATATCTTTCATTAATGATGAATTTTGTTTCTTTGATGCTTCCTTTTGACGATTATTTGATTGATTTACCATAGAATTAGTTTCATCTGATGAATCATATCTTGAAGTTGGCGATGGCAATGTAAGTTGTTGAGTTCGTCGTGGTAATGGTTGTGTAAATGTAACATTTACTGGACGTTTTTTTATATGTTCTTTAATAAACTTTAATTTTTGTTCATCAATCTCACTTTGACGTATCATTTTATCAGTTTTTATTTCCGATTCTGTTAATCCTTGTTTATCTATTTTAGCAGGTAAAGCTGGAATAATGAATCGACTAGCTCCAGTCATTGATTGAATAATCTCTTCTGGTTCAGAATCAGAACTTGATTCCATATGTGAATCTAGATATAGAACAAAAGATAGTAAGAATAAATAATTGTATATTCATACCTCGTGCTGAAAATAAATGTGATAAAGATCCATATTGAGCATCTTGTGGATTTGTTGAAAGTTTTTCAAGGTTATGACGATTTGAATATAACCATTCGCCTGAATAGCTCATTAATTGCCTAAAATAGATTTAAAATATATATATATCCGACGTGGTCTAGTGGTTAGGATTTCTGCCTTTCACGCAGGAGGCCCGGGTTCGATTCCCGGCGTCGGAATTCCTTTTTTTTTAAACTTACATCTGTTTACAACAAAGTTGACATAACCATCCATTATCATTAACATTATACATAAGTCGACATTGTTTACAAACTTTTGCACCACACTTTGGACATATATCACCTGTATTAAATATAAAACCAAATGGTGTTTGGCATCGAGCACAAACGGATGTTGATACTTTTTTTGATTCTTTTTCAAGATCTGCAACTTCTTTTCTTAAATTCCTATAAGACAAAAAAAAGGTAATTTTCATATTTTAAAATATCTATGATTGACATACATAAAACGTGATAGATGTTTATTTCGAAGATTTTCATCACGTTCTAAAACATTGAGAATATGTTTTTTTTCATCGGGTCGAAAAGCAGAAAGATCAGGTAAATCAATAATAGTATTGTTAATAGACGTTGTTGATGCTGATGGAGTTTCTTTAAAATTATCATGATTATGACGTGTCATTTTTATTTTAAGTCTGAAAAAATCAAATTACATAATTTTAGGCCAATAACAAAAAAGAAAAATATGCTTTTGTTTACAAATTAGTATTATGTATAGATGAGAATAAAAAAAAACACTTTGTCAAAACAAAACGATAATCATAAATTCTTTCAAACAAATATTTGCAAAAACATGAATGAAGATTTGTGATTATATAGATCAATCAATAATAGATATAGATTATTCTTTAGGTTGTAACTTTTGTGTAAGGGAAGAAGAAGTACTAAAAAGAAAGAATATATTTTTTTTTCTTCATATATTTGTTCTCTTTTTCTTTCTTTAAATGAAAAGAGAATCATCGGAGCGTTAGTCTCTTCTTTTCCTCATTCTTTACTCTCGTTTCGGTTCGTTTGAAAAAAAAAATTTTTCTCTTTTAAGGTTTTCTTTACTAAATTACTATTATATATATATATTTATATATTTCCGATCATACTTTACTAACTAATTATTTGTTGCCGCTACTATTATCTATTATAATATAAAGTATTTTCTCGATAGAAAACAATAATAAAAATTTTTCAAGTTGTTCGAGGCTACGATTAAACTAAATGTCATACCGGAAGATATTTTATCATGAATGTCTATAGGATCATGGAAAGTAAAGAAGATATTACGTGAGAAAAATATTATAAATTATAAAAATACATGCATGTGTGTAACTAACTTATTTTTGTATATGTATCTTCGTTTTACGTTTTCTCTTTTTTCGATCTAATCATATGCGCTGGGAGTATAGAACACACAATTAAGATAGAAAAACAGTCCACCTGTACACGTTATTATATAAAAAAAAAAGAAAAAAAATACATATCATCATTGTATCTAACGAATAATAGTACAGTGAACGAACGTTTTTTTAATATGATACTCATATTAATTGTTTCTTCGAGCTAAAAAGAAAAAAAAAGAATACTGAACACATGCCACGTACATAAATACTAACTAATATAAAATACATACTCTCCTAAACATTCCATAAATAATTCAGTATTAAATTAGATATGCGATGATGGTTCGAATTCTCAAGAGAGATAAAATCGATTTCATTCAGTAATCTATTTTTTTAATGTAATTAAATCAACATTAACATTTGAAGAAGGAAGAAAGAAAAAAAACAGTGCAAAATTGAAAAGATTTTAAACATACGATTTAATATCCTTTATCTTATTCATAGGTGATATATTTATTATCCGGAAATGAATCGATGATATAATTGAATTTGAATAGGTGTATTAGTTCGTTCATAATGTTCATTGTTGTCTTGACAACATAAAGCCAATATGTTTATGTCTTCCTCTTGTGTTCGCTTGATCACTATTTATTTTACACGCTATATTTCGTGATTATATTTATAAGGCACAAGAAAAAAAAAGAAAAAAGCAAACGCGCCCACTCTTAAAATTGACTACGCGCTGAAGACCTTTTTAACCGAATATATACATGAGTAGAATATTAAGCTCATTCATAAAACAAACATCCTATTATTATTTTGTATTCAAAACAAGTTTTAAATATAAATGTAATATTATTTATTGAAGAAAAACAACCAATAACTTACCATTATATGTTTCTATCATTGATCTTTTTGTAATACTATATTATCATTGATGATAATTACTTTATTGCATTTTTTTTCTGTCTAGATCATAATAATAAACTTCGCTGCAAAAAGGAATCGACTCTTGTACCTACAATCTTTTTTTTTGTTTCTGTGATTTTTTTTTGCTTCCGTCTAAAATAGACAAATACGCATAGGGTAACTTGTTCCTACTTCTTCTATCAACATCACGCACATCGTGATCCATCGTAGCGCGCATATATATTCTCTTGTGGACAGTAGTGAAAGAACGATGACGTTGTTGTGTTGTCATCAACTAAATATGCATATGAGGAACGGTTTGTTAATTCTTATTCAATAAGAATAATAAAACAATAAACGACTAACATATTTTACTATCTATCTTCTTAATGTCAATAATATAAATAAAAAATATCGACAAATAATGTAAAGAAACTATAAATAACATAGATGTTGTGCTACATTTTAATTAAAATTCAACTAATAAGTCTTACATATTTCTTATCTAGACTAAGACCAATATAATTTACATATATATATATATATATTTTGGATTTAACAATTGTAGCTAAATCTACTAATATTATTATTAATTATAAAATAAAGAAAATTAAAATGGAGTATTTATAATCAATGATAATTATTTGAATAAAAATTTTATATTAAAAGAATAATTCGTTATATTTATATTATTTATAAGATATTATAGATTTTTGTATAGAAAATTTTTGTTTTATAGTTTAATTCAAACCTTTTCTTCAATAAGGAATACCAAGTTGTTAGATTCAATATTGATTTTTATTTAGAAAAATAATAGATATATATATATGAAGAAATATATTGTAGATAGAAATGTCATTTTTCAATCAGACTATTTATAAAGGAAGATCTATAGACTATCTTGCCGAATGAGTTCTTAATACAACATATACAAGTTATAGATAATATAATAATCGTAAAGCGTCTTGTAAAAACACTATTTGAAGGTTGTTCTGTTTTGCTTGTTCTAGTATTTTCTCCAATCAACTAATCTTAAATCAAAGATCAACACTAATCATATATTCATGAACAATATAAAAATCTGATTCTCATCAAATATTTTTGCATATAAAACTCAGAAAAAGCAATCATCGAAAGAAGTAGTATCGAACTGTTTACAATATATATGACACAACAGAGTAATAAAGTAGAGATATTGTAGTTTTTTTTGCATTCGATAAAACTCATTGGAAATATTGATGAGATTTATTTTGACTTCATCAGAAAGTAGAATAAATAATTCTGAATTCATTTTTTATTTTATTCATTGATGTAATGTTTAATTAAGTCAAAATCTTTACTCGTATTATTATTAATACATACAGAATATGTCTTGAATTTATATCCCTGGGAAAACTGATGCTTAAAGTAATGAGACTTCTATATTCTGCAATATGAATAGACTAATAATACTTCTAGCTCTTTCAATTATTAATCTATCGAAATGTGTATCAGTTTACTGCATAAATATTTTTTTTTCAAATAAACTGGAAAATGTACCCGATAGAAAAAATTTCGAATATTTATATATTACATCTTGATTAACTGTTGACATTTTATCTAAGGACGAAAATTTTCCATATCTGAGTTGGTTAAAAGAATTAGTGATAATAATTTGATTATTGATTCATTTATTGGTGTCTCTATGGAGTAGATAAGACCGTAAAATAAATGATTTGTGTTCTAGTGAGAAACAAGATAATCTCAACTTCCCATGTGATCAATAAATATATATATATAACATTACAATGTTTTCCCGATATTTTTATACAAATAAAATGAAACGGTAAAATTGATAAAACAAAGTAGTATATTTTCGGCTGTATTCGAATTAATATATGTCATTATCTAACATATATACTTTAGATTTTTGATAAAGCTACATAGAAATTTGTATTCTATAATAATCAAGTCATTTTTCTTTTGGATATATAGCAGTTTAATTCATTTCTGTTTGTATTATTTTTTAGAATTAAATGTACATTTATCAAAATTTCGAGAGTTGTATTATTGCAAATTTATATAAGACTTTGAGAAGATCATTTAATCATAATGATAACATCTAAGATATCACCTGATGTTTTTTTTCGTCTGCATATAATTCAGGTTACTGTTCCAGTTGTGCTTCGAATAAGAATTACTTTGTTTTCGACATAAGATTGTTAGTAACAGAATAGAAGTTTTAAAGACAATATACTTTTAATCTTCTAGCTGAATATGTTTCGGTTCTACTGCTAATCATGAGAAATAATGTATAATATAAATACAATTAAATGTATCATTACAAAAATATTCATTGAGTGTTATCATCATACTAAATGTTAAGTTTAATGTGAAACTATCCGAGCAAATCTAAACATTATTTTTATTACTTGAATTCCAATGATTATCTCACATCGAAATACATAATGAATATATGTCATTGCCGATTAAAAGATATTCTAAACTATCCATGATAGATACATTTCAATTACAGTTCATCTAGTTTTTGTTGTCGTTAGTCTTTTAGTTATTACGATGATAATTAGCAAAATTAGTATTACGATACTAAAGATTTTAATTATGAGTACCTCATTAGTTATTAATCTATGTAGAAAAGTACGTATTTATATTATAAGATGAAGTCATCATATTTAACTTGAAAAACGCTAGAGAATAAGTAGTGATATAGAACGTAATACACTTCAAAATAATTATATAGTAAATGTTATTGACTTTAAAGAGTTTAAATCATGATCACAATGACCTTTATTTTATTAATTCAATGCTTTGAAATGTTACATAAAATTCATAGTATTTTATCACCTAGTACTAGCAAATATAAAATCTTATGAAAGAAAAGATTAGCTCTTTTTTTTCTTAATACTTTCTTCATCAATGTACATATTACCTGTAATCTACATGATATTATGAAAATATCAAAACATCTTATCGAAAATCAATTATGATTGAAAATATATTCTATATAAATAACATTCAATATATCTCAAAATCAACTATTAGTTCTTGATAGATCATACTCAAATATAGGTAGTCTATATTTATGTTAAAACAAAACACTCTCTCGATCTAAATTAAACATCAGAAATATGATTCATTTTTCTTTTTATTGTAAATAAAAGATTTCGGTTGAGACAAAACATTTTGATCATATTTTTTCTTATTATGCAAATATATATATTCATTTGAGTTTCTTTTTCGATGCTCTCTTCCGATGTTTTCGAGTACTATATACATTTATATCGTTGTTCATGTGATATTAAAGTAATTGATCCAACGTTCGAGAGAATGAATAGCAGACAATTTGATTAAAAAACTCAATTTGGCGTTTATAACACGAAAACAAATTTTTTCATAGAGAAACTACGTCGTACTTTAAATAATATTATTGAATCGATGATTCAATAAGCGTTCATTTCGAACGTTTCAAAACAATCTTTTTCTGTTACCAGAAAACTCAAATCAAACGAATGTACATTTATCAGAAAAACAGAATTGTTAATTAAAAGTATCAATAAATTCTATTTTCAATTTTTGCATATAAATTATTCATATTTGTTTGTTCAATGATGTATTTTATGTACTAATATAGACCTTGACTACATCATATTATATACATCCGGCTTTGCATCGACTTTTGATTAATCTATGTTCTTTCTTTATGACAATGAGTTGTGTTATGTTTGCATGTTGCACCACTGGATCCGTTGCCAGAAACTTGATTATCATTAACACACGCGCATATATGTATGCACGCACGCACGTATGTTCCATCTTGTCTTATTCACATATGCCATTTTATTCAAGACTAATATGTAGATTTTTCTCTTACAAAGATTGATATCATTATTGATGGACAATGCCTCTCTTCGTCTTCATTTTGTTTCTTCTTCTTCTTCTTCTTCTTTGCTGCAGTGTCCAACATAGAAAGACACCGTAGTGAAATGATAATGATGACAGTAAAGGCGATGATCAATTTTCTTTTTTATCAAATCTGGCATTTTGCCGCTAGTGGCAGCTTCTATTATCAGTTTCACTTTCAAATGTCACGCGATCTGTTTTGATTTTTATTTTCCCACTACTATTTTACATTTTTGTCTCATGTTTTTTAATATAAAATAATCTCTGTTGTTGTCTATATATTTATTAAAATTTATATTATACCCCGCCGAGTGCTTTCACTCACTTTCTACATACAAACATATATATTTATATTCGGTTTGATTTGTTATTGTTGTTTCTATCTTTTCACTTGACCGATTCACTTATATATGATCTTGTTCTTCTTATCTTATTCAAGTTTAATCATTATCAGCTTGAATGAACTTCGAAAAACGGTCGATGTATATTATATATCTCTATACATTCGTTTATGTACACACACATATATATATATTGAATGACGCCATAAATTTAAAGTAAAGCTTAGCATGATGAATAAATTGTTTGGGGCGTGACTTTAGTAGAATGTATATTTCGAATTAACATACGAATGGGAAATTTGCACGTAAACTTGGAGTATACCTGTCATGATCAGTTGCAATATAGAACAGGATGTTGACTTGAATAAATAGATATCTCTCTTCATGTCTTATCGTGAAACGAAAGATGATGATGATGATGATGAACAATCGTGTTTACTTGGTATATAGAATAGGATAAGTGTTACAAAAATTTAAGCGGCAAGTGTTTTTAAAATTGTTAAACAACGCCTTAACTATTTTCTTCTTCTTTTGACTGCTCTAGATATTATGATTGGAAATTGAATAGCACATATTGTTCCGTCGAATCGAGACGAAAAGAAAAAAACGAAATTAAATTGATTTTTTTTACTTATGATCAACCTAAGCCGAAACAAAAAGTGATCTCAAGTGTTCTTCGTTCATATCCACTTATTAGCCATTTAAGGCGTGATGCTGCACGCTGATATTCATTTGCATAATTCAATCAAATTCACATTTTTTGCATATATATTCAATTTTGAGTTTTTCTAGGATTATTTTTTTTTCCTTCGTCTTCGTCTTCTTCTTCTTCGGTTGATAACCAATAGAAATTATACTCGTGCTAATTTTCTCACACAATGAGCCAATCTAATCTTGTCAAGAGAAAAGAAGAAGAAGAAGAAGAAAAAAAGAGAGCGTGACTTCTTTTTTACTGCTAATATACATGCGATCACTATCTAGTAATTAGGAAGACAAAGATGGATGATGACTTCCTGCTTATGTTCTAGATCATAAATCGAAGAAGAAGGAGGAGATGTGCCTTGTTGTAATTATGAGAAAAAAAAAATAAGTCGGCGAACAAACGATAACACGACAAAGACGGATAGTAAAATGTCTCTTTCTTTCTCTCTCACCGTTCTAAGAATTCAATGTTTCAATTTGCTTATTTGCCTTTCGTTCGATTCAAAGTAGTAATCATCGGACGGCGGTGATACTCGAAATCATTCAAACGAAGAAGAAAGAGCAATTGAATATATACACAGTAGATAGCATAAATGATAAAGCAAAAGAGAAAAAGTGAAAGTGCTATTGCAGTCATGTCAATATATCATGTCTAGTTATATATGCAAATGAGTGTGAAAGATGAAGTTAAAAGAATATAAAATATTTCATATATAGACTTTTTTTTTCGCTACTCATCAAAAATCCCTTGAGTTCTTCACCTCAATAATGATGTGTTGAAGTAACAAAAATGATATGCATTTTCACATCCATATAGATAATGATTTTTGATAAAGAATGAGGAGAGAAAAAAAAAAGAATGACTCGGTTCATTAAATTTAACAACATAATTATCAATCAATTGATACCAATCATTATATTGAGAACGTTTTTTTATTTTATTGTCACACTAAATACATCTATCGATATATTTATGTTTGTTGCCTTCCTAACGCGTGTTATAATCACTAAACACTTCATTTACTCAATATAGCAAAATTGTCCTGAGGGTTGTTCAACACAAAATAAAAAACTGTGATTTTAATCTCAATAATATTTACAATATGTTCAGCAATTTTGTTTTTGTGAAAGAAATTAAACTGATTTTGTCAATATCGATAATAATTTTCAATGTTTGTACTTCTTTTTTTATTTCTTATTCACACGCAATCATCGAAGTTGGAGTCGTTCGATCGCGCGTTCGTTAATCTACTACTCTCGATCAATATAGTCTGGTCGACTATTGACTCTTTCTTTCTTTTTTTTTCCTCTCGTGCTGATCATCACTTGATTAATTGATAAGGATTAGTTGTGTGTATCATTCTTATTATTAGATGCGTATGTCCTCATTTTCTTTCTCCGCCTTTTTTTTGTCTTATTTATTCGGTATGATCTATATCAGTTCTCTTCGCGTGTCGTTGTCCAGACTAAATAGGCACAACAAACAACAACGTCAATGTGAATATTCAATTCGAGTGAGAAATCATGTCGTCTGGATCAACTTAACATTTTGACCTAATCGGCTTTAGTCGCGTATATACACACAACATTGCACCGGCAGTAGTAGCAAATTAGCGCTCGCTATTCTTCTCTTCCTTCTTTTTCTTTTTTCTTTTTTTTTTCGAGAGCACGACCGTCGAACATAGTTGCGCTCAGGGATTGGCAGAAAAAATTACCATAAATATGTGACGGCGCCGTGATTAGCTGGCGAACGAAGAGAAGTAGAAGAACGGGAAAGGAAAAGGGGAGACAGAAAGAGAGAGAGGGAGAGAGAAACAGTAGTTTAATTATATGCGTGAGAGGCCTCCGGTCTGTTCCGAGTGTCATAATGGTGTGGAGAGTGTCGCTCGCTCGCACATCATGTGTTACGAGCAGTATCAATCAAAAGAAAGCAACGAAAAGAAAAAGAGAGAAAGAAAAAGAGAGCGAGAAGAAAAAAAATTGACGAATAGAAATGCGAGAAAAGAGAAAGAGAGAGTGTGAACATACGAGTTAGCAACTCGCCGACGCCGCCCGAGTAATTATTGGGTGGTAGCAAAGCACAAAAAAGCGCGACACTACAACATATACACACATATATACTCACGAAGAATGTCGGCAGTGACAGTGCCAAAATCTGATTTTACAGTTTCATCATTACTTAATTCATCAAATACCAATACCAATACGAATACAAATACGAATACTACTAATAATAATACAAATATTGCTGCTAATGTTACAGCAAATTATTTAAATTTTTTAAATAAATTTCGACCAATTGGCTTTCCAACACCATTATCGGCAGCAAGAGGTCTTTTAGCTCCTCCTCCACCTCCACCACCACCACCACCTCCAACTTCATCATCATCAGAATCAATGCATCGTTCACAGGATGATGGTATACATGATGATCCGAAAGCTGAACTTGAAAGTAAAGATTTATGGGATCAATTTCATCAACATGGAACGGAAATGGTAAGTTCTCAAAAAAAAGAAATTAGTTTATGATCATAAGAAAAAACATTTCATGTTTTTTTTTCCTCTTTTAGGTAATCACAAAAAGTGGAAGGTATGTTGAATTTATCAGATTTCTTTACTTTGAGGCGTGTCACTTGAGAAAAAGGTGAAGCGCATAAAAAGACTCCACTCATAAATGACGCTTTTTTCTTTTTCTTTTTTTTTTTTTTGAGTATGTATGTATGTATCGAAATAAAAGAAGACATTGAAAATATGAAACTTATGCATGTTATATATATGATGAAAGGAAAAGTAACAAAAGAAGAAAAAAAAAAGAAAATTTTTATCTCTCATCTCATTTTACAATTAGAAAGATTAGTCAAACGAATAAAATATGAAATTTAATCGAATAGAAAACGTTTTCTTTTCTTTTATTGATTTTATTATCATCAACAAAACATCCTTTTGTCTTCTTTAATCAACACTCCTCCGCCTCTATTCAATATTCTAAGAAGAGACCTCCAGCTCGATAATCCCCGATAAACACTCTTATTCGTATATCGCAAAAAGCGCTCATTTAGTGATGTGTGTATATATGTTTGCATCTCGTTCGTGGAGGCTTTGATTCTATAATTATCTATCGCCCAAATGTCAATCCTTTTCGCTTTTTTTCTTATTTAAAGGATTATAATAAAGTAAGAGAAAAATAAAGATCTCTCACCACAAAATAAATTAACAAAACAGAGAAAAGAACTAAGCAGCTGTGACTTTTCAGCTAATGGGGACGATCACATACTTTCATATGTTTATATATCTAAATAAATGCCAGTCAGACAAGGAAAAAAAAGCCAGATACTAACAAATTGTTAAATGACACATTAGAATATATGTGTACGTGTGTGTATGTCTCTTAAGAAGGGCGGGTACAAATCTAGGTTCATCAATATATTTATATATGACTAAATGTTTCTCTCTTTTTGTTTTTATAGACGTATGTTTCCACCTTATAAAGTTAAAACATCAGGTCTTGATAAACGAGCTAAATATATTCTATTAATGGATATTGTGGCAGCTGATGATTGTCGATATAAATTTCATAATTCACGTTGGATGATTGCTGGCAAAGTAAATTATTTTTTCAAAAAAAATAAAAAAAATAATATTCATTTCATTTTTTATTTTAGGCTGATCCAGAAATGCCGAAACGGATGTATATTCATCCTGATTCACCAGCAACTGGTGAACAATGGATGTCAAAAATAGTTTCATTTCATAAACTTAAATTAACCAATAATATTTCGGATAAACATGGATTTGTATGTGTGAGAAAAAACAAAAATGAACTTTTTTTTTATCATCCATTTTTTTCTATTTAGACAATATTAAATTCAATGCATAAATATCAACCACGTTTTCATATTGCACGTACCGATTCAATTGTTGATTTAGGTTGGTGTCCATTTCGAACATTTATATTTAAAGAAACGGAATTTATTGCTGTTACAGCCTATCAAAATGAAAAAGTATGTCCAATCAATATCATAATATATTTATTTTTTTTTCCTTTCGTTTAGATTACTCAACTTAAAATTGATCATAATCCATTTGCAAAAGGTTTTCGTGATAATGGACAAGGTAAACGAGAAAAAAAACGAATTATGCTTAATGATCATCATCACCATCATCATCATATTCATCATACACAGCATGATGATTCAGAAGATAGTGATGTATGTGTTGATGAATCAACAACAACAACAGCAACGACAACAACTACAAATAATCCTAGCAATAATAATAATAATAGCAATATTAATAGTTTAACTAAATCAGAAGAAACTCCATTACATAGTTTATTATTTGCTGCTGCTGCACAAGCTCAAGCACAAATTAATCATCCATTACGACATCATCCTTATGCACATCCACATCAACATTATTTTCAATATCGAAATTTTCTGTTTGAACAGCAACAACAACAGCAACAACAAGCTGCTGCAACAGCATTTCGTTTAGCCAATCATAAACGAGAACGTGAAGAAGTTGATGATGATGATGATGAAGATAAAGATACAGATGTTGATTCAAATAAAAGAGTTAAACGTGAAAGATCGAACAGTGCAGGAGCAACAAGTACTAGTAGTAGTTCAGATGAAATAACAAATAAATCTTCAAAACCAACATCATCATCACTAACAGCAACTACAAATGATGAAATTATTAAACCAGATCCCTTAGCAATGTTTAATTCAAATATAAATCCTCAACAACTTTATTGGTTTTTACAAGGTAATAATAATAATGCAACACTTCCAACAACATTACCAACAAATCTTACAGCAAATGAATGGTATGAAACATTACTATTACAACGAAGATCAACAATTCCATTACCACAAATGATGCAACATCATCCGTTTTCAAAATTATTTGCACGTACATTACCACCATTATTACCAATTCCACGAATGACTTCATCATCATCATCAACAAGTCCGAAATAATTCAATTGAAATCATCTATAATAATCAGTGTTGTTTTTCTTTTGTTAAAAAAAAAAACATTATTTAAAAAAACAGCAACAGTTTATGTGTATATTTTTTTTTCCTTTTTCTCTCTCTCTCTTTCTCTTCTTTCTTCTTTTCTCACAAGGAATAAAACTGAATTGTATCATATACACAGCTTGATTCGTCGCCTGACTAGTATTATTCTATCGATGATTGCTGGATTATGTTGCCTATATAATACATCAAATGAGTTTGAACGTTGTCACAGCTTCTTCTTTCGACCGAAAAAAAAACGATTAGTAACACGCAATCACCTCAGTTTTAAGAGAGAGAAAGAGAAATTTTCTATCAATTGATTTCGAACTCTATTTCAGTTAGTCTCCTGTCACTAACTGACAAGTTAATCACGGACACTTTTTGATGACAAAACACGCTATGGTACACAATGGGTGGTAAAAGACTTGTGATGATATTTTTCTTTTTCTTCTTTAACAGAAAAAAAGAGAAGAAAACTCAATCAAAAGAGAAATGACAGAAAAAAACGCCTGTCTCGTTTCCTCTAATGGGTGTTGATCAATAAACAATCATAACATATATGCCCACCCATATTTTGACAACACAAATTTGTTCTCATCATTATCTTTTCTTCTTAATAAACAAGAACAAAAATTTGCAACTGTTTGTTAGACTTTATCTTAACTCGACAAATGACACTCGTTTATCATTTATACTAATTCATTTGACTATCGTCGCGTTTAAAGGTCATGTAGAAAGCTAATTGAAAGGCAATTGATAGACAATCATCATCCGATTAACTCCTCTTCTCTTCTCTTTCGTTAGTCAAAAAGGAAAAGAGCAAGAGCAAGAGCACTTGATTAACAAGCCAGATAACGATCAATTTCTCTCCTTCATTTAACTGTATATCATCACTGACAACATAACAGCAATTAACGCCAATCAACCAAGATGTGATGTGACGAGCCAGCCGATACTCTATAAATAGTAAATCACAGCACAGATGTTTGTTGACACGTTAAACACATGTACTAAGATATTTCTTAACGGACAAAAAGAAAATATACATATTAAAAAAAAAACTATTTCCATCAAAATCTTCTATTAACAACAGAAATGTAAAATAACAAATTCTTATCATTTAAATTTCATATTAAAGCAATAATACATAGTTTAATAAATAAGCGTTATTATCATACAGTAAAAAAATTATCTCTCTAAAATAATACTGTAGAATATTTTAATGTATCATTCTTTCGTATAAGTGCATATATGAGAAACTCTTATTCACTTCTAAAGTTGGATTTCAATATTAAAGTAGAAATTTCTTATTTTTATGATGAAATATGTTATCATATTCGTAGTTTTCTGTCAATAGATGTCGGTAGTGATTGTAATGATGAAATTCGATAGAATGATAATTTGTTTTTCTAGTTAAATACAAATTTTTGTAATACGATGAAATATTTAACTATGATGATTCTATTGAAATCTTTGAAAGAAATTATCGCTACTTGTCATGTAATATATCAATGATAGGTAACTCTTATAGTTTGATTGGTTGATATTCACTAATATCGAGCTTAAAGCAATGTTACACATAGTATTTCAAGTGCATATTTCACCTAAAGAAGGTTTTTTCTAATTAGGAACTACTATTTTTATTCAGGAATGTTCCAAACTATTATTCATAGATTCTCACTAATCATTCTTGATAGATTTTAACTTGAAATACTATTTTTTAGTTGTTAATCAAAATCAAACTGATGGCGTCGAGCAATGTTATTTATACTAATGAACAACCAAGAGAGCTATGCCGGTTTGTTTCCTAATTATATTGAATTAATAAATATCTATCTATTCTTTTAAATTCTATTTAGATATTTTCTTTCCAATGCATGTCGTTACGGTGACAACTGTGTTTATTCACATGATCGATCGAATGCTCAAGTAAATAATGTCTGTCGATATTATCTTCAAGGAAAATGTAGTTATGGTGAAAGATGCAGGTATAGGACATTGATTGATTTTCTTCTCGATTTTTTATTCATTTTGTAAAGATATGATCATGTTCGACCAAAACCACAAATATCTACTACTACTACTACATTTCAACCTGTTTCTTTTCGTTCTAATCTTCCACTACCCACACCACCACCACACCAACAACAACAGAATTTTATTAATACTAAATCTCTGCCTATGAATGGAGCAGGTATTATTAGATTTCTTGTTTTTCAATTGTATCTATTTTAAAACTTGTTTTTAGTACCAATGAGTTATGCAAGTGTTTGTCGTGGTTCTGACGACATTATTGATCCGTCCATTACTAATCAGCAATTATCTCCCTCACATTCTACTTTTTTTCTTCAATCCTTATGTCCATATGCTGAAAAAGATGGTATTTGCGAAGCATTAGAAACAGGACGATATTGTCCATATATTCATGGTGATTTATGCGATCTATGTGAAATGCCAGCATTACATCCAGCAAATGAAAAACAACGTGAACAACATCGAATAGTAAATATATATCAACATATTAAAGTTATTATTATTATTTTGTTTTGTTTGTATTATTAAGGAATGTTTAAGAAAACATGAAGCTGAATGTGAGGAAGCATTTGCAACACAACGAAGTCAAGATAAAAAATGTGGTGTTTGTCTTGAAACAGTATGGGATAGAGATGGTGATAAACGATTTGGTATATTAGAAAATTGCGATCATATTTTTTGTTTGGAATGTATACGAAAATGGCGTGCTTCATCAAATTATGAACATAAAGTTGTTAAAGCTTGGTAAATATAACTATTTTGTTCTTCTCAATCAAAAAAAAAAGCAATATTATTATTTTAGTCCAGAATGTCGTGTTAAATCAGATTTTGTTACACCAACGAAATATTGGCCTGAAAATGAACAATCGAAACAAGAGTTAATTAAAGCATATAAAGAAAATCTTCAGTAAGTTAATATCATTTTGTTTTCGTATATAGAAATCAGTGATGAAGTATAGTTAAGTTGCATATTCGATCTAATAGATAAATTGAGTTGAGCTTTGTTTTAGAGAAAAAAAAATATTTTACTATAAACCAAAATATCCTTTTTTGTGTCTCTTTTCAAGTATTAAAATAGGTGGATTCACAACAATTATTTTACAAAAGATAGTTTGTATAAAATCTGATCTATTAATAAAGATAAGTATAAATCAATTACTCTCATCCTTAGATCTCTGTAATAAACAAAAATTACTATATAGAGAGTACGTGTTACGGAAGTAATTGTCGCATTATCATCTTGATTATTAGTTAGTAGTGTTGATCACGATAGTAAACATAACATTATTATAAATGACGAATTTCTTTTACTGATTAGAAAGTTTATGTAAGTCGTTACGCTAATAGGTTTTAGTTATAACCTGTAAGATGATTTCTATAGAAAAGATATGAGAGTATTTAGGAAAAACTGTTAATTTACTTTTGATAAGAACAATATGTTATTTCTTTGATAAATTAGGCAAATTCATTGTAAATTTTTTAATCGTGGTGATGGTTTATGTCCATTTGGTTCGAAATGCTTCTATTTACATGTTGATAAACATGGTCAACCTGTTCAACTTGGACCACCACGTCGTCGTCAACGTATTAATGCTCGTGGAGAATTAGAAAATTTTTCCGATGTTCTTATGGTATCAGTCTTTTCCAATGAAGATTTCGGACGATTTTTTGATGAGTATGTATAGAAATTATTCTTTCTCAAAGTAAAATATCTTTTCTTTATGTTATTTAAAGATACGATTTTCTATTTGATGACGATGATGATGATGTATCACGTGGTTCTGAAGTTACCGATGAAGATGATTTTCGTTTTGCTGATGAACATGACTTGTCTGACAATGATGATGAAGAAACTACATCTCCTGGATGGCATTGAAATTCATTAGTATGAAATAAAAGAATCGTAGAAAATAATACACACACATACATATATATATATATAGTTTGATATGCATGTAGCCATCAGTCAAATATTCTCTATGTACTAGTTATATTCTTTATTCTAATCACGAACATGATTTAAACCAGTTATATTTATATTTATATTTATATTTATATATATATATAGTCGACTTTTATGTGTGTATGTTTAATGGTATGGGTGTTCATTGGATTCAAATAACAGTATACAACAACAGCAGATCTTCTTTTTCTCCTTTTTTTTGCCTTTTTTTGTGCATATTAAATAAGAACTTATTGATATCTGCAACTAATCGATTTTGTTTCGCTTCTTATATTGAAATATAACAAAACATAAACTATGATAATTATTAAAATATTCTCTTATTTCAGTAACAATCATCTTTAAGATGAAAGACAATCGATATTCAATATCTGTTACTCTACATTGAGATCGTTAGTTGTCTTTTGAAAAATAAAGGAAAAAATTATTGTGTTACCTTTTCCGTTTTTTTATTTCGAAGTCCAATCAGTGACTTAAAGATTTCCGCAAAATACACATCTACAGTCTTCCGTTCTACCATCTGAACTATC